TTCAAGTATTTCATTCGAAAGACATACTTTTCAAACAAGACGAAGAGAAAAGTTCCAGGATGCATACCAGACAACTGGAAGTGGTTACCTAGGTAGGCCTAAGGGTTGAAGTTATAGAAATATGACGTCATATTTGACTACTAGTACAACTTTTAGAACATACAAAGGGCGGCACGGCAGCCAGTCATGTGACTTATGTAGATAGAGAGTGTATCAACGGGTACCCAGCTACCAGCCCAGAAAAACAAAAAAACAAAAAAGCAGTTCGAACGCCGGCGAGAAAGAGATCATCGTCAACGCCTTCCGATCATTTAATCGCATGTCCGGAAAATGGTGGCGTCAAGTCATCTCGTCGTCAGCCCAGTAGAGCTGGGAAGAAATCAGAAGCCAGAAAGAGAAACAGATGGCAAAAGGAAGGTGAAGAAGAAGACTGGAATCAAGCGCAAACGCCATGCATAAAAAGAACCGATTCGCCGGTTCACTCCGAAAGAGAAAGAACAAAAAGACGCCCATGTTTGACCGAAAGAAAAAACGAGAAATAAGTTTAGAGATCGTGGATGGTGGTGAGAACCATTTTGCATGGTATCTACAAACCACCGGGGTATTAATTTGAGACAGGGGATTAGTAGTTTGCGTAGCCTTCCCAGCGTTCTGGGTCATTGAGAGCAGAAGGCTTGGGCAAAGCGAAGTCCGTGGCAAGCTCGGCTTCAACAAACATCGCAGCACGCTTAAAACGCCGATCCGAATACTTTTCAAAGATAGCGGCGTGGTGACGACGGGGGTTCTCACAGCATTCCATCAGTGTGGTCAGGACCGGAATCAGCTGGGAATAAAGGTAACCACTGTAAAAGGCATGTGCCGGTGTCTATTGCTGAATGTTAGCAATGTTATAATAGAGTAAATGGAGTGGAAAGCATACCCAGTGGCCCTTGTTCAGCAGCATACGAGACAGGCAATGTGCCCCGGCAGCAATAAAGCTGGGGGGAGTGCAGACAAAGCGCTCATCCATAATAGCCAGCTCAAGGAAGTACTTGGCAACAGTACGAGTTTCCAAGTCATATTCATCAGCCTTGCTGATGCGGCGAAGGAAACTCATTGGGCCAGGCCATCCAAGATCGAAGTCGAGGATGGTAAGCATGAACCGTTCTGCCTTCAGAATCTCGTCCACAGAATATCCACTGTCAACCATGTAAACTATTTCTTGCACAGACGGAGCTGTAATTTCCTCGAACTTTGCAGCAATGAAGATCGCGGTGGCACCAACAAGCTGCAATTTGCCCATGGAGACGACCTTGTAGGACAAGAATCGGTCGATGTAGTTGACTGTGAGGAACAGGGTTTCAGGCAGCAAGTTGAAGCGTTGGTGAACTTGAACGAGCCAGTCCATTAGGACCGAGCGCATCGACCACTGGAGTTCGCTCTGACGGGCCATGTAATCAGGGACCGGAAGCATCTCGATCTAGAGGCTTGGTTAGCTCAAAATGATATAAGACATTGGAAGAGCAAAACATACCTCTTTCTTTCTTAAATGAAGGAAAATCTCATCGTTATACTCCGCGACCATGGTTGTGTCTAACAGCTCTTCTTCGATGTCTTCTGGTGTCTGCTCACTTTCGACAATGTCTTTCGCCCGGAACATCTCACGAGTGGTTACATTGCTCATGCATGGATAAATGACGGCAGTGGCTCCGTCGGTGGTATCCCCACGAGAGGAGTAGATGGGCGCAACATGATACTCCGTATCATCCCCGTCCCATTCCTCGGGCTCTGATACCGCCGACACAGGTTCCTTGACATGTGCGGGCTCTTTGAGATCTTCGATCTCGGACACGGTGGCATCAGACTCGACGAGGCTGACACTATCCACGTTCAGCCCATTTGAAGGCTCTACCTCAACATTATTAGAGTTTCGCCCTTTCTCCATTCCCTTGTAGCTGGCCTTAACTTCCGTGTCTGTAGTGGTTTCCTTGGATGCGTCTTTTTCGGGGACGGTGTGCAGTTGTTGGTCTTTGAATACGGTGTTGTTTCGCTTCGATTTGTACGCCAGTTGAGCTTTACCGGCGGGGTTCATTGGCTTTGTTGTGGCAACGCTTTCAACAATGCTCCTGGTTCCTGACATGGTCATGCGGCGCTGAGCTGGCTGGGACAGTCCAGGAGCCTTGACCTCAGCCAGGGCAGGCTTTCCACCAACGGCGGAGTCATCCCGACTACCCCGGCTCATATCCTTGGTGTTGCTGACATCAACAAATGCACGTCGACCAGCATTGTTCTGGGCCATCATACCCAGAGCAGGGCTTGACTTGTTCCGTTGATGGATGACCTTATGGTTCTTGTTGTGGAGGGACGGCGGTGGCACATTCTCATCCCCAACAGCTCGGAAACGCTGTGGCTATAGTCTCAGTTAGCATCAGTTTCAATTTTGGTCAATGACGAAGCAACCCTAGAACAAGGGTGGGCAGATACATGATGCGATATCGAACGCGGCGACGTTTTACGCGATCGACGCGTAGGAATAGAGAAACCGGGTAAATCAAAACATCAAATCAGAATGACTCACCTTTGCATCCATTGCGACGAACAATGAAGTATCCAGACTTGGTGTCGAGTCTACCTTGAAGTTGGTAGAGAAGTGTGTTGTTTACTTTTTGCTGAGTTGGGGGTACGGAGTTGCCCTGTGTGATTGGCTGACCCAGGCAAAATAAACAGTCGCTAGGACCCGCTCAGTCGCAACTTCCAGATTTGTCCTCGTCACTTGAACGTTACTAAGACCTTAACGAGAATGATTACCTAGGTAACCCTGAAGATCTGGGTGCACCGAAATGAATGAATGAGAGCGAAAGCGACAGTTACCACAACGAAGGGAGGTTGTGTTGTCCCTTGTTCCTAAAGATGTGCCTTGTTGACAATGTACGCTATTCCTAAATCGGAAGCTACGGTCGCGCACACCTTCCCGCTGCGCACACTGCTACTATTTTTTGGATTATATGTACAATAGTATATAGACATGTGTAAAGGAGACAGAGTATGAACTTATTTGAGCAGGATTTCCTGTTGCTTCAGTCAAAGGGTTGGGATATGGCTATCAAACAGCATGGGCCTCTAACTAGCTTCTGGCTTTGTTCGGTTTTTTCAAGAGGTGCGGTTTTGTATATTGCTCGGTTCTTGTAGTTACTATATGTAAATTAGAAAGCCCTGGAGTGTTCTTTCCCTACTGTGTACATGCAACTTCCGAGGTCAAACTGACATCAACCAAGGTTCCAGAGCTGGAACTTCCCGAAGTCGGGACTCGGAGGTTAAGCTTAGATATTTGCTATGTTTGTATTTAGTTTGCATTGTTTGTTAATTTACTGACGTCATTAAGCTTATCGGCGCGTCTCCTTCGACGTCCATCGAACATCGTTTTTGTTTAAATAACATCTCAAATCAAATGAAAGAATGTAAAAACTTATCTACAAGTATATTCAATTATAGCACATACGCTCCGATAAGATTATCTCAAAAGTATCTATATTTGCGAGTTCAATCGCCCTTTTATGCCATGATCTAGATCTAACGCGCTATCTACACGAGACCACGTGAGAGCCACACCGCCGTCACAAGAGGTGGGACACCCGGAATCAAGCGGTTCCTGTTTGGCAGCTTTGTGATCAACCGAAACCCACTCCTATCATTGCGACAGTCGTCGGCTTTTTTCAATCTCGCTAGGTGGTGTGGGGTTTCAGATCAGAGGAAATGGGCAGTTTCGGAGTAAATTTGTAGATTTCCACGTTCTCGGATCCGATGTTCATCGTCAATTCCAATATCCAGACCTTTTGCGCCCAGTCTCTCTCAGCATCACCGCCTGACTCCACCAAGCAGAAATGTTCCCCCCCCTTTTCGTCGGCTATTATTTTCTTGAATAAAACTGTGGAATCACGGATTTGCTATATTCCGAACTCCCTTTCGTAGCCAGGTTTCAAGGAGAGCGGAATGCTCTGTAACCTCCGGGATACCCTTTTTTGACCTTACGTAGGTCCCGAGGAGGGGTAAATCCAAGTTGCAGATCATGCAAGACAACTCCGGGGAGTCATGCGATATTATGAAAGGGATTATCTTGGGGATTGGAACGGTTTGGTTCTCTCGATATCCTTTCGGTTGAGTATAAATCTCCAGGTCCGGTTCCCATAGGCGGATCAACAAAACGTCTATAAATCGCCCTACCCTAGCTATTTTGATATTAAAACACATTATAAGTGTCGCGATATCTAGTATTTTCCAATCCGCATAGTAAATGAGCAATGCGACAAGGGCGGTGGTGGGAAAATGACTGGACAATGTCAATTCTGTCCAAGCGCACACCTCCACAACAGACCAAAAAAAAGGGTATGGGTTGCTACGTGGTCAAGCTAGAAACCAGCTGCAAGCCAATAAATCCATTGGGCGCTATTTCTTTATCTTATTTTGCGCCTTTAGCCTTCGAGACCTTAGACACTTGTGGCGACAGAGATACCTAGCTACCTTTGTGTGTGAAGCGCTGCATACCCCCCCTCCTCTCAACAGTCTTAGATAGCCCACACTCGCTTACACTTCATCCCTGAAGATTCAAAGATCGGGTTATATTCTTAATTTCGTACATTATGTGCAAGAAGGGGGGTTAGACAAAGTGCTCCGTCACTCGGCGCAATGGCATCCGGCTTGCGACAGCTTTTGCGCCTTTGCGAAAAGATACAGCATTGGGATGGCTTCGCACATAGTTATTTTTTTCAATGCATAGAATAGTTGGAAATCAAATGAAGATTTTATATAGATTCATTAATCCCATGGTATGTGATGGCTACTTCGATGGGTGCCGGAAGCGCAAATCGCCATGTCACCGACCCAGGTAGGCCGTTTTCTCGCTTTAGGTGAAACCATCGTACGCACCCACCTCAACCTTCTTCCTTCCATCCAACAACCCCTCGAACAAATCGCCATCAGTGCCATCAACAGTATTGGGTATGTATCTCTACCCTTGTACAATCTCATTTTTCACTCCCCTGACCCCGTTTCAATCCTGGAGGTGCCACCGCTGACATAGCCTCAGCGCTTCGTAGAATCGACAATCCCCTCTCGACCTCGACCGAACCCATCCTTCGATCCCTCGCCCTACCTTGGACAATCCAGATACCAGCGATACTGGAGAACTCTGTTTGAGTTGAATTAGGTGTGTTGAAGTCTCCATCCATTCTTTTCCGAGTCATCTCGCTTGCTTCCTCCCAAGCCCGCTCCAAGGTCGGCCGGACTCGTTTAGCGACACATTCATCATCATCTTCCAAGACAAAACCCATCCTTATTGTATATTTGAGCGCTTGGGACCCCATTGTGTTAACTCCTGTGGTCTTTTCCTTCAGATTACCCACGTTTGCCCTTTTGAGTCGCTTCCGGTTCTTGCGACTGCAGATTCCCCTCCCACCTCCATCGAAGGTTTTGCTTCGACAGTTTTTATACATCAAGACCCGGGGGTGGTCCATCCACCAACCTGATCTTTCGAATTCAACAATTGTGGTAGGTTTGATGGATTCTTCCCTCTACACCTGCCCTTCCTCTGTGTCTTGCCATGGATCACTTTCCCGCCCTCTACGGCACACAAGCAGTGGGTTGATGCAGTCTTTGGTATAGCAGTGGAGTATTCCTCAATTTGGATCACTTTGATATGCAAGCGGTTCAGCATGAAGGGCTCTCCGGCCTGGTTGAGCAGCCGGGTCTGGCAGACTCTGTCAATGTAGCTCGAGACCCGTCGCTTAAAGGCCCAGCACCCAAGAACATCGCCTTTGAGTTACTTCTCGATGAGAACTCTAAAGTCCGCGCTCGTATTCCGATGCGCGTTCAAATCTACCCCCATGATACCACCGATTCGATCGTCACGACGGTCAAAAATTTCTATGGAATATATGACGGTACTGCCAGTGGGGTCAGCTTCGAGGATGAACATGGGACCACCCTCATCGCAAGGTACGAGAATCTCAAGAACAACAGGACTGTATACGTGCGAGTCATTCCCATTCAACCATACGGGGATCACTTCTATAACGGTTTCAATATCGAGCCTCGCAAGCGGCCTAGTCTGGCAGAGCCTTTCCAGATGGTAGATGGCATGGCGCCAGTGTTGGATCAGCCTTCACGGCCAACCTCTCGACATGCGAGAAAGCGCAGCAACTCTCCGTCCAACCGGAGTCTCCGCAGTGCTTCTCAGCACAAACCTCCCTCCCGAGCGGGCAACAAAAGCCGGGCCTCGAGCACCCACGGAGGTTTCCATGATGATGATGGCTATAGCGATACCGAGAGCGCTTATGCTCGCAGGGCTCGCAATGAGCTATTTGCTAGCTCTGATATCAGCATGGAGAATATACTACAAGATGGTCGTCGGAAACGGCCCAAGTTCGATAGCTCTGTGAGTGACTCATGCGACGGGACTTGGTCTTTTATTAAAGACTGTCACTAATCAGTCTGTTTCCCTTAGGAGCTCCCGCTGTTTGTACCTCCCCAAGTGCCCCTCACTACCTCCACCTCATCAATCTCTCCTCAACGTCGATCGATTGGCCAGGAAGGCGCTGGGTCGCCTTTCGCACGCCCACCGCAACGCCCGTATAGCTACCAGCATGCACTTCCATCGCCACAAAGCTATGGCCACAGTGAATATGGTGTTCACTCCGCACGAAATACGATCTATGCGACTCCCGTGGTTCCTGACCATTCAAATCGCATGCGCGACACGGGAGCTTATAACAACTCGGCTAGCCGAGTGAGCGGTCCAGGTGTATTGCCCACACCTGACCCCACCATTGCAAGCTGCATCTCCGATGAGGATGTGGCGATGCAATTGATACGTTTAGGCGATGCATCCAATTTTTCTCACGGGCGCACCTCTGCCTCGACATTGGACGATGCCTTCAGTGGTGCCGCCGACGCTGCTTCATCCACTGGTGCTACCAGCGATGGGGAAGACTTTAGCGAGGACGAGGATGACTTGCCTGCTCGTCGCCAAAGGTTGGACTCGAGCCCAATGCTGCCGCCGGGAACCATCAAGCGCCACCTCAAGGGCCTGGATGACATCCTTCCCAGCGCCGATAGCAGCGACCACAGCTCGGATGGTGCAGATGATGGCATCAAAAGTGAAGCTGAAGAGGATATCCTTTACAAGGAGTTTGCACCCAAGGCAAAGAAGCCGAAGAGCCGCCCCACATCTTTCAAGGTTCGGGGCCAGAAGCCTGCACCAGCAAAACTGAACAAAAGCAAGGCTGCTATACCTGCTTCTCGCAAATCATCCGAGAAGTCAGCTGCGCCTGTTCCACCTCTCAGCCCGGCTTCCTCCCGAAAGGTCTCAGGGGGCTCGGTCAACTTCCAGCACCAGCTCGGTGCGGATGAGGAAGACCTTTCCACCAAGCCTCGTTGCCAGCGATGCCGCAAGAGCAAGAAGGGCTGTGACCGTCAGCGTCCCTGTGGACGCTGCAAGGATGCCGGCATTGGAATTGACGGCTGTCTCAGTGAGGATGAGGGCAATGGTCGCAAAGGGCGTTACGGTCGCCATATGGGTGTCCCCGTGAAGAAGAACGGGGAAGAGATGGACGAGTACGAGGAAGAGGAGTTCTCATTAACGCCTGCGACTCCTACCTCTTCGTCTATAGCAGACAAGAATAAGAAGCGGAAGCGTTAGTGGAGCTGCAGGTTGCGATTGCTCCCGCTATCTCTAAACGCCGAACTGTTCGCACCTCCAATCTTCTTTGTGGCCATGGGATTTCTCAACCATCTTACCATCCGCTCACTATAGGCCAATCTCATCCGTCCCCACTCTCTCCTTTCGCCATCTTCTGGCCAGCGCCAGAGACAGTCCTTATACTAGCATACCACCGTCATTTGCCCTTCTCCACATTCCCTTCATTGGTTGCAAGCCATGCTCCCTTCATTATACACTGCCAAGCGGTTGATCTGTTGTTGTTGTTGTTGTTGTGTCCCTTCGGCGTCTTAGTGTTTCTGCGGGCTATATGCTTCTTGTCACATCCACTCGCTCATTCGGAATCAATGCTACTGAGCTACTATTTATCATTGTCTATGTCAGTTTCATGTGTGGTGTATGGTAGCGGAAGTATATAATACTTCCAAGGGAGGCTAGGCTGGGTCAAAGGTGACAAGTTGTAGAAGCTGTGCCGATCTTACTTTATTTCGTCTTCTGAATAGTCAGGGAGTCAATGGAAGGGTTTCAATTCTTATTGTGCACTTCAATCTTCCATTGTTCCCTTGAGTATTATCGTAGCCTAGAGCGTACATGTCGATCAGCGATCGCTATGGCGGGACGAGTCACATGACAATGGCGGTGTGATTGGTCCCGCAACTTTTTTGAAGAGCTCAACTTTCTCGACCCTCAAAACGCTCGCATTTCTTTTACGAAACGGTGCTTTGCTTATTTCCAGTCGCATTTTCGCTTGTCGCCGGAAACAGGACCTAGTTATCTCAACCCTGAGTCTGCATGTAACGCGGTGCGCAAACTAGCCCCTCTACACGAAGTTTTCTCCAATCGCCCAGCAAGCCGCATTCAGCGCCTTGTCTGAAAAGCGACGACAATGCCTCCCAAAGCTGCCCCTCGTGGAAGCGCCCGTGGAGGGGCCACCAACCGCGGTGCTCGAACTGACACAACTACTCCCACTCCCGCTGGCGGGGGCACTGCGCAAAATGCTCCCATGGCAACCGGCGCGCCCGGTCCTGCTAGTCGAGCTTCAGTGCAACGACTTCAATCACTGAACAAACGCACACCTTCCGGCAGCATTGCACCTAGCAGTCGGCCGCCGTCGGCGCTTGGTGGCGAGCCGCCCAAGCCAGTCATGAAATACAAACCGAAGGCCGTTGGGCGTCGCAGCAAGCAGGAACGAGAGGAGATAGAGCGTCTGGAGCAAGAACGATACAATGAGCGTCTGAAGGAGGCTGCTGCTATTCAGCGTGGCCGTGGTGGTACTGCTCGTCGCGGTGGCTTCCGTGGTCGTGGTGGACCCATGGCTATGGGCATGAGTGGATTTGGTGGACGAGGAGGCAAGCGAGGTCGTGGTGGGTTTGGTGGTGGAGGTGGAGGCGGTGGATACGGAGGAGGTGCAGGCGGCGCAGGTTCAGGATACAATCGGTCTGGTCTTTCTGGGGGCAACAACCGTGGACGCGCATATGACTCTTCAGACGACGAAGAAAATGCACTCCGTGTCAGCATCGATCATATCAACCTCGACAGCGACGATGAGGATTGGGATACACCGAAGGATTTCAAGGGGAAACAACCCAGCAGGTCCAGCGGCGAACGAGGACTTCGTCCCGTCCGTGTTGAGCGACATGAACACGAGGAAAGAGTTATCAGCGTCAACATGGAATCCAGCACGAGCAGAACCGCCGATCTCCGCAAAAAGGCGGAGAAGGAGAAAAGCGCGAAGGATGTCGGCCGTACCCCTACTAAGGTCAAACCCGAACCCCAGGACGATGACACAACTATGCGGGATGCTATTCCATATGCGGATGACGACGACTTCCTGCCGGAGCATAACGTCCGCGTGCGCTCGGCTCAGAGCATGAGCCCAACAAAGAGGAGCACAACAGAGCTACGATCAACTCAACAAACGCCTGAGCCCGAACTTCCAGACCCACGCAGTCTACTTCACACTAAAGAGGAAATAGACGAATATGACCGACACATGGAAGATTTGGCTATCATCAGGGATCTTCTTGTCCCCAAGGAGTCAAAGAAGGCTACCACAGAAGCAGAAGTCACCGAAGGTGCTGCCGAAGATGCAACCACCGCAACGGAAGGAAAGGATGGTGACGAATCAAACGAAAAGAAGGAAGAGGAAGAGGAAGAGGAAGAAGACAACCCTTTGCATGGCCAAATGTTCCTCATGCAATTCCCACCGATGACCCCCTACCTCAAAGTCGCTGGTTCCGCCGCACAGCAACCTGCAGCCGCAGTCGCAGCTCCCCAGAACGAGATCAAGCGCGAAGCAGGCGAGGACGTGGAGATCGTGGAAAACACCAAACCAACCGAACAAAAAGAAAACAGCGTCTTCACGGCCGGTCAACCCTGGTCTCTGCCCACAGGCCGTGTCGGCAAATTGAACGTGCACCAGTCAGGCCGTGTGACCCTAGATTGGGGTGGAATCAGTATGGAATTAGATCGTGGAGCACCGGTTGGGTTCGTCCAGGAAGCTGTCATCATGTCAAAGGCGCCACCAGAGCCGGAGGAAGACACACAAAAACATGTCTGGTCTATGGGCCAATTGTCTGGCAAGTTCACAGTCACGCCGAACTGGGATGAGATGCTTTGAATCATCTACCCAAGGTACCTTATGATGAACGGAAAGAAATTCGAACGAACTTATTGCAGCAGTCCTTTTGGTTATTAACTTAAAAATCACTGAAACTAGCTAGACCAGGGTTGGATTTCCTAAAGGATTCAACTTCAACCCCTAATAGGTTATATAGTGCATATCAAAGAGAAGCAAACCATTTGTTCCAACGCGTGGTCACGTGATCGCATTTGTTCGTGTAAGACTCCAGTACATACTACATATAGAAACAAGATGATATTAGGGATGTTGTATGTAAGAACACTCCGATGTGTTCTTGGATGTTCTTTTAAGATGTCTTTTTAGATGTATATAAACTGTACAGAGCACTCTGCAATGGCCGGTCAAGTGTAGTAACTAATGTTCCCATGCGCCTGGGAATTAAGGCACCGACAAATGCCAAGGCCCATCTGCCCTGGATCAGCTAGCACGAACTTTGTTTGCGCGTGTCGAGCTCAAATAATTTGACCATTACATCCTCCATGCCCAAGAGCAGTTACAGTCGAGCTCAAGCCACAAGCCGGCCCAATTCAACAGCGCACATTCCCTCTACAATGCCTGCATAGACCAAATTAAGGGTCTCTGGTGCTACACGAACCTTCGCCATGTCGTTACGTCCTCTCGGATATCAATGCAACCTATCCTATGCGCAATTTCTCCGCAGTGGACCGCAAACAAAATTTACTATAACACAACACCTAAGATCCTTTTCCCAATTACGCGACACCCATTGCACACATCGCTGGTCTGCGACAAGTCCGCACCATGCCAATAAACCTTCGTTTTCGCTACGGAGCTTGCTCGGTGATCTCCTGAGACCTGCACACACTCCCCGGAACCATGGCAAGGGACCATGGACTCAACAATGTCGCCACGAGACGACTTCTGCGGCCAAAGAGCCAGAACTCTGCGTGCACTGCGGTACAAAAACCATTCCCAAAGCTAGAAGACACGTCGAAGCTGGCAACCTCTCTAGCGGCTGGCACTGCAAAGCGTGTGTTCGGAACATCCGTACCCATGGCCATCTACCAAATGAGGAACAGCTTGAAGCGATCCATCGGCGGAGACTGGTCAGGGCGAGTGGAGAGGCAAGCAAAATAAGTCCATGCAGGCACTGCGGCACGATGACTGCCCCGAGAAGTAGCCGTAAATTCATTGATACGAACAACCCTTCTGCTGGGTTTCACTGCCGGACATGCGTTCGGCATTTCAATCATCACGGCAACCTCCCAACTGAGCAAGATCTTGCAGCGTTCCAGTACCGCAAAGAGATGCGAAGTAGGCGTCCTACCGCCGCCCAAAAGAAGAAAGCAGATGACATTTCGAGAGAATCCATGGCTCACCATTCCAAGTCCCCCAAACAAATGAAACAGAGCCGCGGTGAATATCCCTGCATGCACTGTGGTGACAAAACCATCTCCAGCAGCAAGCGTAGGCTTGTTGAGCCCCAGAATCCTGCGGCAGGCTACTACTGCCAGCCATGCACGCGGTCTCTACTTGAAAATGACGTCTTGCCAAGTACCGTCAAAATTGCGGCGCTTCGAAAGCTCAGAGAGACCCGTATGCAAAGCAATCCCCGAGTCTTAAAGAGCCCTTGTCTCCACTGCGGTGAGATCACCGCCCCCAGCAGCAAGCGCCGACTAGTTGAGTCGAAGAACCCTCAGGCCGGGTATTACTGCCGCGCCTGTGCGGACTGTTTGATTGAAACCAATTCGCTGCCCAGCGATATACGTCTTGCAGTTCGCAGAGCGCGAGAGCAGGTCAGGCTGAAAAACTTACGGGTTAGTCAATCTAAACAGTCGCAATCTCCGGTCTCTACGGGGGGAGGAGCTACACCAACAGACACCCCCACGGATAAGACCGCACAGGCCTGTGCGCACTGCAAAACCGAGGAAATTACGGGCCCCTGAACCTAAACATATGTTCTTTGTGTATTACATGTTTTGATCTTAACGGCTCATTTTTGAGGCTAGAGGTACATTTGCGCAGGGACGGCATGGACAAAAAGCCCGGGTGCGCATTATAGCGGATATCAAGGCCGGTCTACGGTTGGATTACCATCAGTGCAATACCCCGCGTCTTCGCAACCCCAACATTGGAAAAAAAAAATCAATGGTCCATCCTTTGATCTGCCAAGGGCAAGAGTTCTAAATGTCTTGATTTTGGTGCCCATATATGCGCGTCGTCATCTACCCCACGCCGAGTCTTATTCCCTCGAATTTGGCATTTGCATGGACGATCATTTGTGGCGTTGTCCGTTAAGCCTCGGGATGTCTCGACTATAATTAGAAATCCAAAATCTGACTTGTATTTAGAGTATAATCTATGTACGGGGTATGCTATAGATGCATACATGAAGTCATGAAATTATTGAATCACCCTGACATCAAATATCCAACCGGTTAAAGAAGATTAAAGAATAAATAAACAGCCTCAGGCACCTTTCAACCAATCAGAGCCCACAGAATTCAGGAACACGCCTCCACTCTGGACGGCTCAGGGACAGGGCCAAAGAGAGCCAAAAAGCGGCTCAGCCAATCAAGCCCTCGCTCTGATCGGCTTCATCTTGATTTTCCCTTAATCTCCCTCCTTTCCCCCCTAGGCTGTTTCGGTTTTTGGGGCTTTTTCTTTTCTTTTCTTCTCTTTCAATCCTCCTCTACGGCTAAGAGTGAGTTGGATTCCGACAATCGAGAGAAAAGGCGAAACTCTCCGGAGATTCCGTCCCGTGTTCAACCCCCTATTCCATTGCCTGACTATAACCCGACACCAGCAACCCACTCGAACTTAAGTGGCATGCTCTGAGTCCTCCCACAACTTATATTCGGAAATCAAGAGACTCATACGAGTAACATCACTTCCAACTCTCTCCACCTCTTATCTGCAGCACTGTTGCCTTGCCAACTCCAGACCCCCCGTCATACACGACCCGCACCATCAAGCTTGGCGTTGCTTGTTCCCAGGCAACAACGCAAAGCATTTGCGCGCCAGTCTATTCCTATACTATACACCTATAATCTGTCCGCAATGAAGCCATCCACCTTCCTGGCCTTTCTCGCCCCAGCCGCCGTCCTCGCAGACTCACAACAACCCGCAGACGCCAGCCTCTCCTCCGATTTCGCGCACAACTCCCCCGCCGTCTCATTACCAGAACTTCCCCGGGAGCAGTTCGCTCCGTTTACGGACCGCGATCTGCCCTCCGATGAGATGCGCTTGCTCGCTGCTCGCTATGTCCTCCAGGCGCGCAGTGAGGGTTCCCTCGGCCAAACACCGTGGATTGGTATGGCTATCGGGTTGACCTTTACTGCTCTGGCGGCTGTGATGCTGGGGTGATTGGCTATGAATTGCAATGAAACGAACCCCCTCCCAGCTTGCGATCTTCCGACTTTCCATACATATACCTTTTTTCCGCAAGCTTCTTTTTCTCTTTGGACACGACACATGAAACGCCGGGCACTGCTCGAACTTTGTTTATTTCTTGCGCTCGACATACTCCTACCCTTTCTTCATTTCCATTTTCTTACGGTCTTTTGCAGCGGATTTTTACCATTTTGTCTATTTTTTTTGCATCCATGGCCTTGTGTTCTGGCGTGGGATTGGATCTTTGAGCTCCCTTTTTTTTTTCCTATTGCATTCCCCGACTGCCGAGGTATTATGTGTACTTGGTATTGTTGGGGGTATAGAGTTGCATGTTGTACGCATGTTGTACATGATACCTTTTTTGTTTCTGATGCCCCTGTGCCCAGGTGTGTACATGGGAGTTACCTAATTAGTGTATATAGATATGGTGAATACTGACTATACATTTTTGCTTTTCCTATTTTTCTTTCAGAATTTGTGTTCGCTAGTCTACGCCTCTTTCGTTAGACTCGGACCCGGGGCTTTCTTTGTTACTCGAAGTTCAAAGTTTCATGTCTCAAAGAATAGTTTGATATTCGTCCTTCTCGCTGTGTCTATTGGTTCAAGGTTGGAAAAAGGACCACACCTTTTCCCTTTTCGATTTTGACTGCAGTTGACCAAACAACCCATTCCTAGGGCAGACGCAAAGACCTCGGGAGCTGTCTGATTCCTGCGCTCCACGTTGACATTTCTCTGGTTTCCTCTCGGGCTCCGTTCTCGAACATTAGAAAGAGATATCTTTCATTTCCATAGGAGTGGGTATAACCCCTCGCACACTCCAAACCCAACTATACTACAGACTCAACCCTCACCATGGCTATGGCCGAATACCCACCCTACACGCCGATGCCCTCGCTCAACCACGAGCTAGGCCTGATGTTCGGCTTCCTCTCTCTCTTCGTAGTGGCTATGGGCGTATACACCGCTCTCTGGCGTGGTTAGTTATCCTCCTCTCCTTTTCACCATATATCTCTATCTCTCTCCAAAAAGCTACCGTCCGTTTGTGGTATACATACACCTCTCCAATCCCACTGCATGAATCAGTTATCATCAAACCTACCCTATTTTACCCCCTAACAACCAACCCCCAGTATTCCATACCCGCCTCCACGCCCAACACCTCGCCCACCGAAAAGCCTACCGCGACAAAACCCCAACCCAAGCACCCCTAGGAACAACAACCTCCGTAACAGCAGGCCCAACTCAAAGTCCCAATAAAGACGCAACACCCAATGCAAACGTGCAAGAAAAAATGCTCGACCGCATCGGTAAGCCCGAGAACCGTGCTGAGTTACCTGTCCACGGGATGGAGATGTATGCGGCGGGGAAGTTGAATGCGAGAACACAGCCTTTCAAGTGTCCGTTTAGTCGGGCTACGCCGCTTAGTCCTGTTAGTTCTGTTAGTTCACTTGGGGGGCAGGAGTGTGAGTCAGGGGCTGGGGGTTGATGGGTTTCGGTCGGCCAGTCCAGCGAGAAGGGTTGGGGGTGGGAATGGTCGGGCTGTTGAGATTGGGCCTGCGCCTAGTCGGGAGTAGTCAAGTTTATGAAGATATATGTTATGTTGTATGAAGGTTAGGAGGAAGTGATGGCGTTGGGTGTTGATACTTTGGGGTAATTTTGATATTGTCTATAGGGATTCAATCGTCCATGTCGATTCGGCTATCTTTCTCACATAGTTGTCATTTTAAATGTTTGAGCTATATTACACATTATACTTTACATTATACCATACATCACCAGCTATCCACATACAGGCTTGTCAAATCCACGCGTCCACAGCAACGATCCCATGATAACAACCAAAAATCCAAGCCCAACAAGCACACTCACAGCTCCATACAGATATGCATGGCGCCGATGAGACAGCCCTTTCAACTCCGAAACCCAAGTACTGATAGTAGTCGTGCTCCCACAGAATCCATCCATAATACCCTGCAACACCTGGCAACCCGTCAGAGCAGCAGGAACCACCGCTCCAAGACCACCAACATGCTGCAAGTCATAACAAAGACCCAGAATGATAGTTCCAAACATATTTACCACAAACGTGCCGAGCGGGAATGTCGGCATCTTGCTATTCAGACGCAGCGAGACATAGAACCGAAGAAGACAACCAGGCGGCGCAAAGACAAGAGCAAACACCGCCCGGCCGCGCCACACATCCGGGCCATTATATCGGTCTGGCGGCCAGATAGCCAGGAAGACGGCTCCGAGCCAGCATCCCCAGGCAAGCACGACCATGACACGGTCGAGGACTCGTCGCGTGAACGCAAAGGGCACGGTGGGTGTTATGCGTGTGAGAGCCAGGGCAAGATGTGCGCCGAAGATGAGCGCCGACAGGCTCAGCGACACGGTGAGTAGAATCACAGCGACCAGGGCCATGAAGCTATACCCGCCATTACGGGATGCGATGTGCGATCCGGTCGGCAGCGACGGATCGGGGAGGACATTTGCCAAAGCGAGGAAGATATCCCGAATAAAGGACGAGAAGGAAGTGAAGCAACCGCAGAAGCCAGTCGTCAGACCAATATACAGCGGGATGGTCTTCTTCACGGTCATGTGTTTCTGGTTCTTGATCTTAGACTCGTCGACTGGTTCTGTAGCTGGCTCCTTGGCTCTATTGCCCCACTCTTCGCGAAACAGATTCTGGTCTTCGCTCAGGAATCCCATTACCAGGCTTCCACCTACATTCGCCCATAGTACCCCTGTCACGACGGGGGCGCCTGTGTAGAATGTCAATGCCTGTAGACCCAGACGGGCTAGTGTGCCCATGAGGGAGAAGAAGATTAAATAGGAGACGGTGTAGATGTGGGTTGCGTGTCTGGAGAGGGGCGCGGATGCAGGCGCACGTTGTGCGTGGTCACCTGAGCTTGGCCATTCGGTCGGATTGCCCCTCCCTTGGGCCTCTGTTAGAGGGTAGGACACCGAGGGATTGTCGGTTGGCATTCTCGCATCAGTTGGGTAAAAAGATTGCCAAGCACCGGAGACCGGAGATCAGGTGGAGTCCGATAAGATGGTTTTTGTATCTGGATAAGAGAGGGGAAGATAAAGGTCCATTACCTACTTCCTATGTACATATATAGTATCTCTTGTTCCTCTTCTCTCTCTCTCTCTCTCTTATTCCAAACTACACTTCATCATGTCTCTCCCATCAAATGTCCATGTCTCCTCCCACCCCTGTCTCCAAGCCAAGCTCTCTTTAATCCGCTCATCTTCCACCACCCCGCGCGAGACAAGAGGTTTGGTCCATGACATTGCCAACATTCTAGCCGTGGAAGCCTTCTCAGGGCTGAAGCTAGTCAAAACAGGAACGGTAAATAGCTCACTGAAAATCCATTAGTATTGAATCTAACATTCCCAGGACACCACCCCTCTCGGAATCGAGTATGAAACCCAAGGCATTGACCCAGCAGACCTGGCTCTAGTGCCAATCCTCCGATCCGGTCTAGGAATGGTTGATGGTGAGTTGATTCTATTCCGTATTACCCCATCCCCAATTCCCATTACCAATCCCAACCCCAATCTCGCTCACAATCACAATCACCACATTTTGCAATCCTTCACTTATCTCCCCCTATCACCCCACTCCCTAGCCTTATCCCCACTCCTAACCCGTCCCCCGCTTACATGGCCCCCACAGCCCTCAACGACCTCCTTCCAACTCCAGTCCCAGTCTACCACCTGGGTCTGTTCCGCGAAAAGGTCTCCCTCCAACCCGTAGAATACTACAACAACCTCCCCTTCCATCGGTCGGAGCTCTCACCAGCTTCACCAGCCTCACTGAACCCAACTACCAACACCGCAGCTGCAAGCTTGGCGGTGCTGTTGGACCCGGTTATCGCTACTGGTGCCACAGCCGAGGCGGCGATTCAATTGCTGCGCGATTGGGGTGTGAAGAAGGTTATTATGATTAGCTTGCTTGCTTCCGAAGAGGGGGTTAAGCGTGCTGCGGGGACTTGGGGTGATGTTGAGGTTTGGGTTGGTGCTATTGATAAGGGTGTTGATGAGAAGGGTATGATCGTGCCTGGTATTGGAGATATTGGTGATCGGTTGTTTGTTGCCGTTGGAAAATAGTTTTTTTTTTTTTTTTTTCCAAAAAGACATCGGCATTGGCATGACGCATGGCTGTTTCGGGTTTAGATACTGGAGATAGTTACGTATCACTACAACTACAAACTGGCTAGAAATGACCAAGGCTACAACTGAAGTCTACAATCCAAGTCTACATGTAGGAAAAAAAAAAGGTTGTCCCCGCCAGATAATTCATCGATAACGTATAGTACATGGAAATGGCATAAAAACATGTGCAGGTGAAACAAATGCGAAAATCTTGAAAAGCAATGCTGAGCGTTAAAAAGCATAATAAAAGCAAAAGACGGGGTTTGAAAGGCGTGCAGGCAATTAACATCAAATACAGTGGCTGGAAACCCAACCAAAGAAAGGCAAATGGCAAATGGCAAATGAAAAAGCAACGCGAACGCATGAAAAATCAAAAGGTATCGAGAGCACAAAAAGCAGATGGACGAAGGGGGGCACGATTAGGGGTTAATGTGAACCATAAAGTCAAACTCCTCGGAGTGCGAAAGTACACACAGGACCAGCCAGGTGTCGAAGACGGAAAGCAGAAACACCACACTGGACTCCCTGGTGTAAGAAAAAGCAGGGAAAATGCAAAAGATAAAAAAAAAAAAACGCAAGAGAGTAGGAACCACCGAGAGGGATATCAAAAGGCGAAGTATTCCAGAAGAGCCAAACACCCCGCCCACTGGCATGTCCCTAATTCCGAAAGTGTCCCAAGAAAACGTCCAACAAATGAGAGTAAGAAATCGAAAAAAAGACGGAAATTTCACGATATAGGCAAGATAATCAAGTCGAGATTGATCGAGAAATTTAGTATGCGGTGCCGACGCTAGCAAGTGACTTGGTTGGCACCGCGTGGATCGGCTGGTCCTTGCCAACACGGAGAGAATCTTCGTAGCCGACCAGGGCCTGGGAGTGGAGCTTGAATGATTCGCCCATCAACTTGGTGATTCTATAAAGCAGTTAGTTAATTTGGTCATCAAAGTGAGGAGAGGTTTAAACATACCCCCAGACAACCACGCCGTCTAGGATGTTACCCCATACACGGGCGACAGTGGAGCTGAGTTTGCCAAAGGCGTCAATGGCATCATCATCAAACAGATTGCGGACTTTGTTGTAGAGGGCCATTTCAGCCTCAGTCGCCGGCTCATCGTCATGTTCCAGGCGGTAGAGCCAGAGGCTCAGGATGACCATCAGATCCAGGCCGCAGAGAGGGTGCTCGACACTCCAGTTGGTAGCGGAGGTCTTGGCAACCCAATTGATGCCCTGAATAGCAGCGATCTCAATGCATTCGAAACATTGTTGAATAACCTTATTCATCTCCTGCGAGCGCTTGACCTTCTCACGAGCGACGGTCATGGCAGCCGCCACCTCGTAAGAGGAGTGGTACCGCATCGCCTCCTGGATGGACTTCAGGTCAACGGCCAGGCGGGCGCGGGTGTTGCGGTAGACAGCCATCGAGTTGAAGATCAAGGGGTGACCCTTCTGGGGAGTGCTGAGCGGGACCACAATAGTTTCCGGTTCACAAACCTCGAGGGAGTGCTCCCAGGTCTCGAGGGCCAGGCGCAGCTTGTATTCGGTAACCACATCTTGCAGCGCCTCAAAGCTGCGCTTGTGGCTCCAGACCTGCAGGAACAGGGCGTTGATGAGAACACGAGTGGCGAAAGCGCTGTAGCGGGTTTGTTCGCCCTGGAAGAGGAAGTCGTGGGCCTCGCGCACAGTCAAGGCACTCGAGACCGTGCCACGGCGCCAGCTCTCATCATCAGCGGCGTCCAAGTTCCACAGGGACTCGGAAGACGGAAGCTCCAAGTCGTCAAACTCATCGAAGCTCATGGCGGGAGTGTGGTTGAATGTGAGTGTCAACATGCCGAAGAAGATGTATACGGCGAAGTATGTGCGACGGCAGGATTCGTCCTCGATCCACTCCTCGCGCGATGGCTGGACATTCTGGCGAGCCTGGGTCCGCAACTTGAGCTGGTACCGGTTGCCGGCGACCATATTTGCCAGGAGACTCTTGATGGAGCAAGTCCATTCGAGGCCCTTCGGGTCACCACTCCAGCTCTCAAATACCATGTTCAACAAAGTAGCCTGCATCAAGGACAGGGGACACTTGCGGGAATCGAAGTTGTCCTTGTGTTGCAGGAATTGATTGACCAGGACCTTGGAGCCGACATGGAGCATGAAGGCGTGCTCGCGCTCGAAAGTGTAAAGAGCACCAATCGAGAGGACTGCAAGTAACAGTGGTGCTGGGACCTGGGAGGGCTTAAATGATTCCTGGTGCAGGAATGGCAAGTGAGGATGGTACAGATTAAAGTAGGTGGACAAATACCGGTTCAGTGCAACCGTGGAAGGAAGCTGGAAAGTGTCGGGAAGGGCACCAAGCGTGTCTGATCCCTGAACCCGGTCCACTACATAGTTGCGTTCCATGTCGTTAGCAAGTTGGGGAGCCCTGGGAAGGGTCAGCGCTTGACTGGGCCCGGGCGAGCGGCGGTAGTTGACCGGGCTAACGGGGCCAGTCATCGAGGGGTAGGGTGACAGTGCATTCGGGGTCGAGTGGCCTGACATAGGCAGCGAGGTGGACATGAGAACGTCCCCGAGGGGGCCATGGCGATCGACAAGAGTGGGCATCGAGCCCGGTTCCGCGGGGGAGATAAGCGTGTCCCAAGGCATTTGAGGCAGAGTCGCGTTGCCTGAGAGGTAAGGCTCGAAGGAGCCACGTCCTGGCGAAAGCGATTCGGAACGCTCGGAGGCCTGTCCGGTCGCCGCTGCTGCAGCCTTATGTTGGAAGTCTGTCATCAACATGGCTGCAGTTTCAAGGTCGACCATACCATCGCTGCTTGTGCTTGCCTCGGTCTGCTCCAGCGTCGTCGGGTCCACGGTGGCCGACGACCTAGCTGGGGCAGATGAGGAATTTTTCTGAACCCCTCCTCCACGTCTACGCCCCTCTGCAACCAGGGGGATTCCGCCGTCCTTGGCGTGAACAGTTCGATCATGCCGCAGAAGCAGATCGCGACGGACAAAGGTACTGCGACATTTTAAGCACTTGAAGGGTCTCTCTTTCGTGTCTGTAATTTTCAAGTCTGTCAGATGGGGAAAAAACGCGACCTGGGAATGTTCTAAATCTTACGTGAGCGCTCATGGCGACTGCGATGTTCACTTCTGCTGAACGCGCGATTGCAAAACTGGCATTTGTATTTCTTCTCTGGAGCCGAGGTTTTCTTGGCCGGTGAGGCCGTCCCAGGCGCGGAAGGAGCCATGTGTACGAGTCTTAAAGCAAGAGCAAAAGTGACGGTGGTATTGTCCCCTGGGTAAGCTCGCACCGGTTCTGTAGGCGTGTCGACGACAGGAGTTCGTTGGGATGTCTGATCATTCCTTGAGCGGGGGAAATGGGAAGTAAAGGGTATTGAGAAAGTGGTGTCCAGCCACGGAAATATTAAAGAAGCAAACGCTGTTAATAAAAAAAGAAGAGCGGGATGATCAACCGCGATTAGATGTGGGAGGGGAAGAGGAGAGAGGGGAAGAGGAGAATAAGAAGGAATTTGGGATTTCGGGATTTTTGGTTTTTTGGGGGGGTGGAGGGGGGACACTGAGGAAAGGGAGGGGGGGGGGGAAAAAGGACGTGGGCCTAAGTTGATCGCTTACTTACGCGTTGAAGCAAAGACCATCAGAGGGGCGAAAGCGGGACCCGATTACAGCTAAAATGACTATCAGAGAGGGGAAACTAACAGGAACTACTACCCAGCCCCCTCTCCGGCCACGCACTTTTCCTTCATCCACTCACTTTTCCTACTTGTCCAATGTGCCCCCCCTTTCCCTTTATTTACATACACGGGCACTTTTACCATACGAAATCGACACGTAATTAT